GGAGGTGAGGGAGGGAAGGTAGTTAGAGAAGGAGGGTAGAGGGAGGAAGGTAGTTAGGAGAAGGAGGGTGAGGGAGGAAGGTAGTTAGAGAAGGAGGGTAGAGGGAGGAAGGTAGTTAGAGAAGGAGGGTAGAGAGAGGAAGTAGTTAGAAGGAGGCGGGAGGAGGAAGGTAGTTAGAGAAGGAGGGTAGAGGGAGGAAGGTAGTTAGAGGAGGGTAGAGGAGGAAGGTAGTTAGAGAAGAGGGAGGGAGGGTAAGAGAAGGAGGGGGAGGGAGGAGGTAGGTGTGACGGGCACGGGCGGCGGCAGGTGTTAATAGTCGCTGTGATTGACAGCTGCTGAGATGGGGGGGAGGGCGGCGGAGGGTGGTGGAGGGGCGTTGAGGGGGGACAGTCGGCGGGTGGAGGGCAGACACGGGGTTATTGGAGGGGTGGTGGAATTGACAGTGAGCTGGCGGAGGGGGCGTATGGAGGGTGCAGTAGGTAGTTGTTGGGGTGGTGGAGGGATTAACAGTAGGAAGTGGAGGCAGTGGAGGAACCGGTATGAGTAGATGAGGTCAAAGGAGGGTACAAGAAACACCTTCACCACAATAGTTGAGAGAGAGAGAGAGAGAGAGAGAGAGAGAGAGAGAGAGACACCAGAATATTAGACAGACCAGATTTTCACCAGAACATTAACCCTCTAGCGTATGCTGTGGGGGGTAGGGTAGGTAAGTATGTTACGTTAGGTTAGCGTTCGGGTGCCTATATGTTCATGTGATCCTCTAGGCGGTCGAGGTTAATTAAACTGCGGTGTTGGTAAATAGGGTACAGACCCCAGAAGATGCTCTCTCTCGCCGTCCATAGGGGGCCCACAGTAGGTAAAGCATCCACGAACGGGCAGCGACCACACCTCCTACTGCCAAGCTCAACAATTGCCTGATGATATAATGTGTCTCGTGCCTGGGAGGAGAGGGGGTGGGGGTAGAGAGGAGGGTAAAATGGTAGGGAATCGAACCATTGTCCCCGTCCCAGCTTGCAATCAACAGTATTTGGTGTGCTTCCAGCGAGGAAAATCTGAAGACAGCCAAAAAAATATGAGGGGGGTGTCTTTTGTGTGGATCAGGAAGTGAGCGAGGCGTGAAAGCAACAATGGAGGTGGCGGCGGCGGTGTCTATGTCAGGCAGACACACTCACAGAAACTCGATGCTTAGAGACTGTTACGCGATTGCTGTAAGGGAAGGAGGAGGAGGAGAGGGGAAGGTGTAAGGGGGAGGAGAAGAGGGGAGGTTGCATAGGGGGGAGGAGGGAAGAAGAGGGGAGGTTGCAAGGGGGGGAGCAGGAGAAGAGGGGCAGGTTGCATAGGGGGAGGAGGAAGAAGAGAGGTGGAGGTTGCAAGGGGAGAAGCAGGAGGAAAGGGGGGTTCAAGGGAGGCGGAGCAGGAGGAAAGGGGAAGGTTAAAGGGGGCGGAGCAGAAGAGGGGAGAGGGGAGGTTGCATAAGTGAAGAGGAAGAAGAGGAGGTTGTAAAGGAGGAAGAGGAGGAGGAGGAGGTGAAAGGACGTTGCAAAGTGGAGGAGGGAACAAGAGGAGGTTAGTGTTGCAAGTAAGCTCTTACAGAGAGCACGAGTACTACATCATTAACTTAAGACCATTGAGAAAGTTAAAGTGTCCTAAAGTAGCCCATTCATCTTATTTCACCTGATGATTAAACACACTAACGCTACTTGGTGGGGTTAGGTTAGTTACGTCTCTCTAACTCTCTCTAACTCTCTAACTCTCTCTCTCTCTCTCTCAACCTTACCCTGAGCTGAAGGCTGTGGAGGAGCGAGGGTGAGGTATGAAGGGGGGCAGTAGGAGGTAAGACAGGGAGAGATACTGAGAGGGGAGATAAGGCCTGTACTGAGACCTGGTCGTCATTAGTAAGGCAGTTAGGTAATTAGTAGGATAGTTAGGGTAATTAGCTGAGTACTTAGGTGTGAGTAAGGCGTAGTTTTGTTAATTAGGGAGATAGTTGTGATTATTAGGGGATATGGAGGGTAATTAGTGTTAACAGGGATCGTGCTTATGGTAATTAGGTATTTAGTGTGGAACTTATGGTAATTAGTTGGTTAAGGTAATTAGTATTGTTATGAGGATAATAACTGAAAAGTTAGTGATTAGCAGGTGATTAGCATAGGTGTTTGGGTGTGGGTAGTGACCACCTAATCGAGGATAAATCTTCATAGTTTGGGAATGGATTAACAGCTCTCTCTCATTAAGACTGTGCCCAGCCTACCCCTGGGTGACGGCTGCCTGCTGAGGGATTATAGTGGTGGTGGATGACCTCAGATAACCTCCCACCACCCCTACCACCACGCCCTTCCACCACTACCACCACCCCTACCACCACCACCCCAACCACCACCTCACCACCCTACCACCACTACCACCACCCTTACCACCACGCTCTACCACCACAACTACCCACTACCCCCTACCACAACTACCACCACAACCACCAATTCCTACCACCACCCCTCTACTACCACGCCATCTACCACCACTACCACCACTACCATAACACCATCCTTCACCATCACCACCCTCCTCCTACCACCACAACCATCCCCTATCACCACCACATACATACTATTACTACTACCATTACCACTAACACTCTATCATCACCAGCACCACCATCGTTAACGCCACTACATTATTATTATTATTACTATTATTATAGTAGTACTGTAGTAGTAGTATTCGGCCCATGTCAAGCATCGCTGGAACTACCTGATGCGCAAGCAGGAGCGGATAATGAGAAAATCGTGCAAATGGTGATACAACATGAATTTGGCCTGATCATACCCTTAGGGTCAACAATTCGCCTGATTGGCCATTTGAAACTAATATGGCGGCCATTTTTCAAGATGGCTGCCAAATCTTGACCTTTTCTTAGTGATTATGGTTATGTGGAAATTGATGTAGTTGGTCAATGTAAATGATCTAGTGTCGATATGTATGTTTTAAGCATGCTTAGATGGTTTTTTCTATTTCTGATAATTTCAGAAATATATTTGTTCAGACATGACTGGTTTTATGCACTGGTTTTAGTGTTTTTTCCAACTAGGTGAGGTAGTGCGTGCAGAGGGTCTCTGCATGTGAGGGGGAGTGATTGTTTGGCACTACCAGGCACACTGGTGACATCACTGCTGTGCAACCCAGCATGTAAAGGTTCAGTGCGTCAGCTACAAAAGCATGTCATACTGCAACAGCTTAGTGTCCCACGCTTAACCAACCTGAATCAGTTAAGCAGCCGCACCTGAATTGACAGGATGTGCTAGCGTGGGAGAGCCGAGCCAAGGATAACAGGGTTTTTAGTTATCTGGATGGTGTGCAGATCGCACGGGACCAGTTTTAATTGAACGATCGGACTGGTGTAGGGCAAAAGCATGGACCTAGTTGTATCCTATACAAGAAAAGTGCTCATGGAGGGTGGTAAAAGGATAAAACCCTCGCCCTGAAGATCAAAAAAATAATTATGGACAATAAAATCTACCAACAAATCATTCCTCATCACTGACCGGGCAGCAAGTTGTCTTTGTCAACAGGATATACAAGATCTAAGTCTCCACATGCAAACTTCTGCCAATAAAGGAGATGACGGTTACAGTATTGGCAAGGAATATTCTCTATTTCATTCAATCACAACCGGCTAACCAAGCTTGACCCTGCAAGACTTGTTGAAGATGATAGGTTAGGAGAGACCTTGTGGAGAAACAAGGCACAGTATCATGAGAGTTGCAGACTTCTTTTCAACAACACAAAGTTAAATAGAGCTCAGAAAGGCGAACTCTGCAGTTGCTACAGAGGAGAGCAGCAGTAGGGAAGATACCACGAATGGTCAGAATCAAAGCAACAGAATGAATTTTATGTGGAGGAAGAAGCTGAGATGACATAAGATTACGCAATGACAATGAAACTTAATAAAAGATTGAATGATTATGCTAAGACACTTACGTATGGAAAACTCTTGCCAAACTATGCAGGAGATGTTAGGCACAAGAACTGGAGGACCACCCTCGCTGCCTGGCAGACCGTACAACCGAGAAAGAACACACCGAAATGCTCATGAGCAAGAAGAAAGCCAAGAGTCATAGGACGCATACCCAACTGCTTTCTGAACTGGGTCACTTACATCACTTAGATGAAAGCTTCTAGGTGAAGGAAAAGTACTGAACCAATTCATTTTTCAGACTTGCTGACCTGGTCACACCCCTCAGACAGAGACTTACAGCTGTGTTGATCCTGATAGTTCATGCTACTGACTGAAGGACCACACGCTGCTTTTTCACATCCCCAGCTGCAAGTCACCAACAAGGAAGAGTATTATCCATTGGTCTTTTGAGGCGACGTTGGCTCAATCCTGGCACAAGCAAGCAACGGTGACGCGATCCATCTGGCCAAGGCTGCTAGGATGACACGACGTAATATGTCAGCACAAGTCACACTTCAGCAGCATGGTCGCGAAGGATGATTGAACAGGCTGTTCCAACGAATACTGCTTTCCAATTTAGGCGCTATTTAGCCAAGTAGGTATCAAATCCCAACTCCAGTATGGCGATCAAGTCTGACTTGCTATGTCACAGTTTACAGTAATAAATTTACCAACTACAAGGTAGGGAACACAACCACACATACTCCAAGGAATAATGAGACACCTTGCTACTTTACGTCGGCATAAGCCCGTGTTTATACACAGAGAGGTGCCCATCGACATAAATAAAGAAAAGGAAGTCAGCATTTCAGATATTGTGAATTTACAAATTATCAGCCCAGCTAGGAGGAAGCAGCTAGAAGCAAGTACGTGGAAGGAGGAGGTGTCCACCAATCTTGAGGAAGCAGTTGTTCACCATTTCAGTAGGGACACAGATGACCACAAACCCCACTGCGACTACGGCCAAAACGTCCTTCCATGGATCATGTGTCCATCTTTCCAACATCCAAGCTCCTGAACAGCTGGTGAGTATGTGAGAAGGGGAGGCATGGCAGACATGTTGGACGACTCTTCCCTTATCGCGACATGCTGTCAGGAGCTGATCAATGTTCGTAAGAAAGACTGCAACCAGGAGATGCTGCTTGTCGGACTTTCCTGCATAGTACCTGCAGCTGCATATGAACAGCAGTAAATGCAATAAAGATACCGTCAGAAGTCGCTGGCAAATTTATTAAGAAGTATACTTTTTTTAAAAGTCTAAGTTATATTTTACTAAAAGTGTTATTTTATGATGCAATGCTATAAATGGACTTAAAACTATAACAAATCATCTGAGCATGCTGAAAACATACACGACACCAAGATCACCCAGATTGACCAACTACATCAATTTCTATAAGAAAATCAACTTTGAGCAGCCGATTATGGCGGCCATCTTGAAAATGGCCGCCACCTGATTTTTAAATGGCCAATCAGGAAGACTTGACTAGTAACCATTAGAGAATTACCATGCCAAATTTGGTGCTTGGTTCACCATTTGCATGATTCTCTTGAAAATTGCATCTAGCTTCTAGTTGCCCCACTACTGTCCCTGATATCGGACCCTCCTTCACCTCTGGAAGAAGCTATCAGCGTCAATTTAATTCCCAAATTAGTGAAACACCCTCACTTAACCACAGCAGAAAGATCACTCCTTGCACTACCACCGAGACTGGGAGGAATGGGATTGACCAATCCAGAGGAGATTGCTGCCACCGAACATCAAACTCAGTTAGGTTCACGGCAGCCCTCACGGATCACATAATAGCTCAGAACGCAACGGAGGTGGATACCACTGAAGTAAACAAGATTAGAAGATCCATTACGACAGAACGACAGCACGGCCAAGTGATAAGTTGCAGCAACTGTTACTGCAGGTACCAGAGAATTAAAAAAAGTAGCTATAGCCAGGAAGTGGGCGCCTCGAACTGGTTAACTACGTTACCGATAAGGCAAATGGTTTCCAGTCTCAATAAACAAGAATTTACAGACGTCAATGTTCTAAGGTACGGTAGGCCAGTAGAAGGTTTGCCCTCCCAATGCGTGTGTGGTTCTTCCATGACGTCGATCACGTCATAGTGTGCAAGAAAGTGGGCTTCATATGCATGAGGCATGACGGAAGTAAGGGATCTCACAGCAAAATATGTTGAAGGAAATCTGCGGTGATGTCAGGGAGAACCGATCCTCCTTCCATTGGACGGTGAGAATTTCCAACATAGGACTTAAACACATCCAACGAAGCCCGTGCAGACGTCAGTGCTCGAGGATTCTGGACGCGGCAACAGCAAGCCTTCTTCGACATCAGGATTTTTATCCCATGGCCACATGTCACCGTAACTTAGCTCGCAATGCTACACAGGAGGCGAGAACGACAAGATAAGGTGGGAGGAGCCAAGTGCAAGATGTTTCTACGCCAGACTAGCGGAGGTGCTATCCGAACAGAAGCAGCAGCCCAGAAGTTATGTTACAGCCTGGATGAGATGTCGACTGTCCTTCTCTCCCCTTTCAGTCGGCTTTGCTCGCCTCCAAGGAACGAGCATCGGCCCCCAAAGCCGACAACAGTTGCAGATATTGACTATGAGGCAACAGTTCTGAATGCCGCATAGATCTGCGGCTCAACTAACTCAACACAGCTAGGATAGCTACTTATGTATTAGGATATTTAATTTTAAGGTAATAAAATGGCGGCGAAGGTGTGGCTATAGGGGAGGCTGGAGGCCAATTAAAAGTAGTACAGGTAGTATCATGTACACTGTCCCCAGTACTACTCTCTAAGCCACGTCGCCCCTTTCAACCACTATGTAGTCAGTGGCGTGGCTCACATTACACCTCCAGTACCTGGGTTCGAGTTTACGTCCGCACACTGAACCAACAACTTTCTCGCTGATATGTGTTGGTAGAGGTTCTGGTGATTATTACTCCTAAATGATGATGTAATGGTGTACTTGATTGGCTGATTTATGGATTACATGAAGAGCAGTCCACCTACCTTATTCTCGCCTGATGATTAAATAATATAACGCTACCTGGGGGTGTTAGGTTAGGTTAGGTTAGATTAGTTTAGGTTAGCGTTAGCATTAGTTTTTAGGTTAGGTTACTTAGGTTATGTGGAGGCTAGTGTTAGGCAGACTAGTGTTAAGGTGTTTAATCCTCTGGTGTTATAAGCTGGGTGTCTAAGCTCATGTGACTAGTAACGCAGGTGTTCAGGTGGGGTTAACACATTCTTGCTTCGTCACCTGAGGGACAGGTACTGTACTGCCCTCCACAAGATGCTTCTTGACCGCGCCCTTTCTCACAATGTCTGACCACGCCCACAGCTTTACTAACCACGCCCTCTCCTTCCCCAGGTGTGAGGTACCACCAGTATCGTCTCCAGCGAGTCACAGTGACAGCGGCTGTGCCTCTCCTTCTGAAGGATCCGAGGAGGCGCTGGCGGAGGTGGTGGAGGAGGTGTTGGCGCCCCTGGTGACCCTTGGCCGGGTGTCTATGGGCACGGGGTCGGTATCCACGTCCCCCGCCACGTCGTCTGTGTCCCCCAGCTACCACCCAGCACCAGCACCAGCAGTAACACCACGCAGGGGGCGCCCCCACCCCAGCCCCCACAGGCTCTAGACCCAGCCTGGCTCACAACCCCTTGCTTACACACAACAACAACACCCTGCATGGTGAGTCCTGGTCCCTCTCTGTTGTTATGGTGAGTCCTGGTGCCTCTGTTGTTATGGTGAGTCCTGGTGCCTCTCTTTTGTTGTTATGGTGAGTCCTGGTGCCTTCTTGTTGTTAGGAGTCCTGGTGCCTGTCTGTTGTTATGGTGAGTCCTGATGCTCTCTGTTGTTATGGTGAGTCCTGTGCCTTTGTTGTTATGGTGAGTCCTGGTGCCTCTCTTGTTGTTATGGTGATCCTGGTGCCTCTCTTGTTGTTATGGTGAGTCCTGGTGCCTCTCTTTGTTGTTATGGTGAGTCTGGTGCCTGTCTGTTGTTATGGTGAGTCCTGATGCCTCTTGTTGTTATGAGTTGTGCTTTGTTATCCTGGGCTCGTTTGTGAGTCTGTGCCTCTGTTGTTATGTGGTCTGGTGCCTCTCTGTGTGAGTCTGCTGTTGTTTGGTGACTGGCCTTTGTTGTTATGGTGAGTCTGGTGCCTGTCTGTTGTTATGGTGAGTCATGATCTCTGTTGTTATGGTGAGTCCTGATGCCTCTCGTTGTTATGGTGAGTCCGTCTCTGTTGTTTGGTGAGTCCTGTGCCTCTCTTGTTGTTATGGTGAGTCCTGGTGCCTCTCTTTGTTGTTATGGTGAGTCCTGGTGCCTCTCTTGTTGTTATGGTGAGTCCTGTGCCTCTCTTGTTGTTATGGTGAGTCCTGTGCCTCTCTGTTGTTATGGTGAGTCTGTGCCTCTTGTTGTTATGGTGAGTCCTGATGCCTTCTGTTGTTATGGTGAGTCCTGGTGCCTTCTTGTTGTTGGTGAGTCCTGTGCCTCTCTTGTTATGGTGAGTCCTGATGCCTCTCTTGTTGTTATGGTGAGTCCTGGTGCCTCTCTCTTGTTGTTATGGTGAGTCCTGGTGCCTCTCTTGTTGTTATGGTGAGTCCTGGTGCCTCTCTTGTTGTTATGGTGAGTCCTGGTGCCTCTCTGTTGTTATGGTGAGTCCTGATGCCTCTCTTGTTTGCCTCTCTTGTTGTTATGGTGAGTCCTGGTGCCTCTCTCTTGTTGTTATGGTGAGTCCTGATGCCTTCTGTTGTTATGTAGTCCTGCCTCTTTTGTTGTTATGGTGAGTCCTGGTGCCTCTCTCTTGTTGTTATGGTGAGTCCTGGTGCCTCTCTTGTTGTTATGGTGAGTCCTGGTGCCTCTTGTTGTTATGGTGAGTCCGCCTCTCGTTGTTATGGTGAGTCCTGGTGCCTCTCTGTTGTTATGGTGAGTCCTGGTGCCTCTCTTGTTGTTATGGTGAGTCCTGGTGCCTCTCTTGTTGTTATGGTGAGTCCTGATGCCTCTCTGTTGTTATGGTGGTCCTGGTGCCTCTCTTTGTTATAGTGAGTACTGGTGCCTCTCTTGTTGTTATGGTGAGTCCTGGTGCCTCTCTTGTTGTTGTTATGGTGAGTCCTGGTGCCTCTCTTGTTGTTATGGTAGTACTGGTGCCTCTCTTGTTGTTATGGTGAGTCCTGATGCCTCTCTTATTGTTATGGTGAGTCCTGATGCCTCTCTTGTTGTTATGGTGAGTCTGGTGCCTCTCTTGTTGTTATGGTGAGTCCTGGTGCCTCTCTTGTTGTTATGGTGAGTCCTGGTGCCTCTCTTTTGTTATGGTGAGTCCTGGTGCCTCTCTTGTTGTTATGGTGAGTCCTGGTGCCTCTCTTGTTGTTATGGTGAGTCCTGGTGCCTCTCTTGTTGTTATGGTGGTCTGTGCCTCTCTTGTTGTTATGGTAGTACTGGTGCCTGTCTGTTGTTATGGTGAGTCATGATGCCTCTCTTGTTGTTATGGTGAGTCCTGATGCCTCTCGTTGTTATGGGTAGTCCTGGTGCCTCTCTTGTTGTTATGGTGAGTCCTGGTGCCCTCTTGTTGTTATGGTGAGTCTGATGCCTCTCGTTGTTATGGTGAGTCTGGTGCCTCTTGTTGTTATGGTGAGTCCTGGTGCCTCTCTTGTTGTTGATGGTGAGTCCTGGTGCCTGTCTTGTTGTTATGGGGAGTCCTGGTGCCCTCTCTTGTTGTTATGGTGAGTCCTGATGCCTTCTTTGTTGTTATGGTGAGTCCTGGTGCCTCTCTTCTCTTGTTGTTGTTATGAGTCCTGGTGCCTCTCGTTGTTATGGTGAGTCCTGGTGCCTGTCTGTTGTTATGGTGAGTACTGGTGCCTGTCTGTTGTTATGGTGAGTCCTATAATTGCCTCTCTTGTTGTTGCAGTGAGTCCTGGTGCCTGTCTGTTGTTATGGTAGTCATGATGCCTCTCTTGTTGTTATAGTGAGTCTGATGCCTCTCGTTGTTATGGTGAGTCCCTGGTGCCTCTCTTGTTGTTATAGTGAGTCCTGGTACCTGTCTGTTGTTATGTGAGTCCTGGTGCCTCTCTTGTTGTTATAGTGAAATTCCTGGTGCCTCTCTTGCTTATTTGTTATAGTGAGTCATGATGCCTCTCTCTTGTTGTTATAGTAGTCCCTGATGCCTCTCGTTGTTATGGTGAGTCCTGGTGCCTCTCTTGTTGTTATGGTAGTACTGGTGCCTGTCTGTTGTTATGATGAGTCCTGATCTCTCTTGTTGTTATAGTGAGTCCTGGTGCCTCTCTTGTTGTTATGGTGAGGTACCTGGTGCCTCTCTTGTTGTTATGGTGAGTCCTGATGCTCTCTTGTTGTTATGGTGAGAGTCCACCAGTGCCTCTCTCTTGTTGTTATGGTGAGTCTGATGCCTCTCTTGTTGTTATGGTGAGTCCTGGGTGCCTCTCTTGTTGTTATGGTGAGTCCTGTGGTGCCACTCTCTTGTTGTTATGGTAGTCTTGATACTTTTCTCTTGTTGTTATGGTGAGTCATGATGCCTCTCTTGTTGTTATGGTGAGTCCTGATGCCTCTCTTGTTGTTATGGTGAGTCCTGGTGCCTCTCTTGTTGTTATGGTGAGTCCTGATGCCTCTCTTGTTGTTATGGTGAGTCCTGATGCCTCTCTTGTTGTTATGGTGAGTCCTGATGCCTCTCTTGTTGTTATGGTGAGTCCTGATGCCTCTCTTGTTGTTATGGTGAGTCCTGGTGCCTCTCTTGTTGTTATGGTGAGTCCTGGTGCCTCTCTTGTTGTTATGGTGAGTCCTGATGCCTCTCTTGTTGTTATGAGTAGTCCTGGTGCCTCTCTTGTTGTTATGGTGAGTCCTGATGCCTCTCTTTGTTGTTATGGTGAGTCCTGGTGCCTCTCTTGTTGTTATGGTGAGTCCTGGTGCCTCTCTCTTGTTGTTGTAGGTGGTCCTGTGCTCTCTTGTTGTTATGGTGAGTCCTGATGCCTCTCTTGTTGTTATGGTGAGTCCTGGTGCCTCTCTTGTTGTTATGGTGAGTCATGATGCCTCTCTTGTTGTTATGGTGAGTCCTGGTGCCTCTCTTGTTGTTATGGTGAGTCCTGGTGCCTCTCTTGTTGTTATGGTGAGTCCTGGTGCCTCTCTTGTTGTTATGGTGAGTCCTGGTGCCTCTCTTGTTGTTATGGTGAGTCATGATGCCTCCCTTGTTGTTATGGTGAGTCCTGATGCCTCTCTTGTTGTTATGGTGAGTCCTGGTGCCTCTCTTGTTGTATTATGGTTAGGTTAGGTTAGGATAGCATTAGTTTATGTTAGATTAGCTTTAATTGAGGTAAAGTAAGGTTAGGTTAGGTTAAGTTAGGTTGGATTAAGTCTGCGTTAGATAGTTAGAGTAAGTGTTTAATCATCAAGAGATATTGAACTCTGTGGTAAAACTGAAGTTGAATTATTTGTCTTATTAACCTGTTTATCATCAAGCATTACGGGTTTGAGTTATGTAATGGAGAAAACTATAACTCGAACTGTAAATAATGATCATTAATGTCCGTTTTCTTTGGTCAGAGGTGAAGGGGGAACCCAGCAATAACGCCACGACGGACGTGTTCGAGGCGCTCCCTCCCTACACCCCAGCAGCGACTGACAAACACGACCTCTCCGCTTCCCACCTGCAGCAGCTTTACTCCAGGTAGGTTGTCAGATTATCTGTTACCTGTAGAAGCTTTTACCTCATCTTCAGGTAGGTTTTTTGAATAGTTGTTGCAGGTTTGATGCTTCCTCCAACTTAGCTTACCTCAACCTAACCTAACGCAACCTAACCTAATCCAACCAAAACTAACTTGACCTAACCTAACCTAACTTAACCCAACCCAACCTAACCTAACCTAACTTAACGCAACCCAACCTAACCTAACCTAATCCAACCTAACCTAACTCAACCCAACCTAAGTTACTTAACCTAACCTATCCCAATCTTTCTTAACCTAACGCGACCCAACATATATATGTATGTATATAAGAGTATATATATATATATATATATATATATATATATATATATATATATATATATATATATATATATATATATATATATATATATATATATATATAAGTATAAGGTATATATATATATATATATATATATATATATATATATATATATATTTTTATATTACCTTCTGAGTGCACTATATATAAATATTAGTAGTTATATTATGCTTTATAAATCCTCAGTTGTATTATACAATGTTTGTGATGTATTATTAAGTGTTCATAACTTTATATGAAACAGAAGCAAGAATTATGTCCTGCTTCTATATGTTTAATGTTTATTATTTTCCTGTACCTGATGTTAATTAATCACCACGATCCGTACTTCACTACCCTTGCCCAGACTATCATCACCCCTGGACTATTGCCTCTTAGCATTGCCCTTACCATTACCATAACCATTGCCCCTCTTCATTGCCCAAACCACTTTGGAGGGTGGGATTACCTCCCAGGGCAGACGTCATTGACCTTACTGTACATTGGGGCCTTGGGGACGAAAATATAATAATAATAAAAATAATAATAATAATAATAATAATAATAATAATAATAATAATAATAATAATAAATATAAATTATAATAAAAAATATAATAATAATAATAATAATAATAATAATAATAATATTATTATTATTATTATTATTATTATTATTATTATTATTAAATAAAAAAAATGAAAAAAAGATCAAAAGTGAGAAACAATATATGTATGTTGTGTTGTCAATAGTAAGAGAAACAATTGAGACCCTGCAACTGTGTGTAAATGAGGCAGAAAGTCAGATCAGCAACCTGGGACCTCCCTGTTTGGTAGCTGCCGACGACCTACATAACCTAATCATTGCCCCAACTGTCTCTCCCGTCCCATTGCCCAAATCTCTTACCCACACCTTTGCCCTAACTTCTTGACCATACCATTGCCTGCTGTCTATCCCACATCACTGCCCTCTGTCTTTCCCGCACCATTGCCCTAACTGCCTTGCCTACACTATTGCCCGAACTAACCTCTTGCCCTTTTCATCTCTCCCTCACAGCACAATGCAGGCATATGGCGGGAACTCGTACATGCAGCCAAGTGGGTTTTACAATACCATGCCCAACTCTCAGTACTCCTATGGCACAGATTACCTCTTGAGTGAGTTACCCCCTTTGTTGTACCTCCCAGTGAGTTACCCCCTTCGTTGTACCTCCCAGTGAGTTACCCCCTTCGTTGTACCTCCCAGTGAGTTACCCCCTTGTTGTACCTCCCAGTGAGTTACCCCCTTTGTTGTACCTATCAGTGAGTTACCCCCTTTGTTGTACCTATCAGTGAGTTACTCCCTTTGTTGTACCTCCCAGTGAGTTACCCCCTTTGTTGTACCTCCTTGAGTGAGTTACCCTCTTCGTTATCTCTCAGTGAGTTACCCCTTGTTGTATCTCCCAGTGAGTTACCCCTTTGTTGTATCTCCCAGTGAGTTACCCTTGTGTACCTATCAGGAGTTACCCTCTTCGTTGTATCTCTCAGTGAGTTACCCCTTGTTGTATCTCCCAGTGAGTTACCTCCTTTGTTGTATCTCCCAGTGAGTTACCCTCTTTGTTGTACCTATCAGTGAGTTACCCCTTTGTTGTACCTATCAGTGAGTTATCCCCTTGTACCTATCAGTGAGTTACCCCTTTGTTGTACCTTCAGTTAGTTACCCCTTTGTTGCACCTATCAGTGAGTTACCCCTTTTTTGTACCTATCAGTGAGTTACCCCTCTTTGTTGTACCTATCAGTGAGTTATTCTCTTTGTACCTAGTGAGTCACCCTTGTTGCACCTATCAGTGAGTTACTTTGTTGTATCCTATCAGTGAGTTACCCTTTGTTGTACCTATCAGTGAGTTACCCTTGTACCTATCAGTGAGTTATCCCTTTGGTGCATCAGTGAGTTATCCCTTTGGTGTACCTATCAGTGAGTTACCTCTGTTGTACCTATCAGTGAGTTACCTTTGTTGTACCTCCCAGTGAGTTACCCTTGTTGTACCTCCCAGTGAGTTACCCCTTTGTTGTACCCATCAGTGAGTTATCCCTTGTTGTACCTCCAGAGTGAGTTGTTTGTTGTACCTGCCAGTGAGTTACCCTTGTTGTATATCCCAGTGAGTTACCCCTTTGTTGTTTATCAGTGAGTAACTCCCTTATGTTGTACCTATCAGTGAGTTACCCTTGTTGTACCCTCCCAGTGAGTCACCCCTTTGTTGTACCTATCAGTGAGTTACCCCTTTCTTTGTACCTCCCAGTGAGTCACCTTGTTGTACCTATCAGTGAGTTACCCCTTTGTTGTATCTCCCAGTGAGTTACCCCTTTGTTGTATCTCCAGTGAGTTACCCCTTTGTTGTACCTATCAGAGTTACCCTTCGTTGTATCTTCAGTGAGTTACCCTTGTTGTACCTATCAGTGAGTTACCCCCTTTGTTGTACCTATCAGTGAGCCCCTTTGTTGTACCTATCAGTGAGTTACCCTTTGTTGTACTTATCAGTGAGTTACCTTTGTTGTATTCCTATCAGTGAGTTACCCCTTTTTGTACCTATCAGTGATCTACCCTCTTTGTTGTACCTCATCAGTGAGTTACCCCTTTGTTGTATCCTGGTGAGTTACCCTTGTTGTCCCTCCCAGTGAGTTACCCTTTGTTGTACGTATCAGTGAGTTACCTTTGTTGTACCTATCAGTGAGTTACCCCTTTGTTGTACTTTATCAGTGAGTTGCCCATTTGTTGTACCTGCCAGTGAGTTACCTTTGTTGTATATCCCAGTGAGTTACCCTTTGTTGTACCTATCAGTGAGTAACTCCCTTATGTTGTACCTATCAGTGAGTTACCCTTTGTTGTACCTCCCAGTGAGTCACCCTTTGTTGTACCTATCAGTGAGTTACCTTTGTTATCTCCCAGTGAGTTACCCCTTTGTTGTAATTATCAGTGAGTAACTCCCTATGTTGTACCTATCAGTGAGTTACCCCTTTGTTGTACCTGCCAGTGAGTTCCCCTTTGTTGTACCTACAGTGAGTTACCCCCTTTGTTGTACTTATCAGTGAGTTGCCCATTTGTTGTACCTGCCAGTGAGTTACCCCTGTGTTGTATATCCCAGTGAGTTACCCCCTTTGTTGTATTTATCAGTGAGTAACTCCCTATGTTGTACCTATCAGTGAGTTACCCTTTGTTGCACCTCCCAGTGAGTTCACCCCTTTGTTGTAACTTTCAGTGAGTTACTCCCTTTGTTGTATTTCCCAGAGTTACCCCTTGTTGCATCTCCGCGAGTTACCTCCTTTGTTGTACCTATCAGTGAGTTACCCCTTTGTTGTGCCTATCAGTGAGTTACCCCCTTTGTTGTACCTGCCAGTGAGTTACCCCTTTGTTGTACCTATCAGTGAGTTACTCCTTGTTGTACCTCCTAGTGAGTTACCCCTTTGTTGTACCTATCAGTGAGTTACTCCTTTGTTGTACCTCCCAGTGAGTTACCCTTTGTTGTACCTATCAGTGAGTTACTCCTTTGTTGTACCTCCTAGTGAGTTACCCCTTTGTTGTGCCTATCAGTGAGTTACCCCTTGTTGTCGCCTATCAGTGAGTTACCCCTTTGTTGTGCCTATCAGGAGCACCTTTTGTTGTACTCCAGTGAGTTACCCCTTTGTTGTACCCCAGTGAGTTACCCTTGTTGTACCTATCAGTGAGTTACCCCTTTGTTGTACCTCCCAGTGAAGTTACCCCTTGTTGTACCTATCAGTGAGTTACTCCCTTTGTTGTACTTATCAGTGAGTTACTCCCTTTGTTGTACCTCTCAGTGAGTTACCCCCTTTGTTGTACCTATCAGTGAGTTACCCTTTGTTGTACTCCCAGTGAGTTACCCCTTTGTTGTGCCTATCAGTGAGTTACCCTGTTGTTTTCCAATAATGAGTTACCTTTGTTGTGCCTATCAGTGAGTTATCCCTTTGTTGTACCTCCCAGTGAGTTACCCTTTGTTGTACCTCCCAGTGAGTTACTCCTTTGTTGTACCTATCAGTGAGTTACCCTTGTTGTACTCCCAGTGAGTTACTCCCCTTTGTTGTACCTATCAGTGAGTTACCCTTTGTTGTACCTCCCAGTGAGTTACTCTTTGTTGTGTACCTATCAGTGAGTTACCCCTGTTGCACTCCCAGTGAGTTACTCCCCTTGTTGTACCTATCAGTGAGTCACCCTTTGTTGTACCTCCCAGTGAGTTACCCCTTTGTTGTACCTATCAGTGAGTTACTCTTTGTTGTACCTCCTTGAGTGAGTTACGCCTTGTAGATGTCGTTGTTTTAGTCAGTATTAAGGTACAGGCTTTGAGGGTTCATTTGGGTTCATTCAGGTTTTATAGATTTATTTTGGGTGTATTTTTGTGTTTATAAAGGTTTCATGTGGTATACTTTGGTTCAGTTTGGTTCTGTCTAGGTTCATATAATATGGGTTTCATCTCGTTTACATTCTGGTCGTTTGTTCAATTTGGGTTCTGTTTGGGTTATATATGGACTGTTAGCAATACGTAACTGAACGAAGA